ATTTAGGCGGGTGGCCAGAAAAACATGGGACCTGTGACCTGGCACCTACCTGGGACCTGGTTCAACTAAAAAGAATGAATAATGCACGTTAAATCCCTCTTGGTGCTCCCTGCCGCCCCCTGTCAGACACAAGCACATGAACCATTATCCTTCTCACTGTCTCTACCTGGTATAATATTCTGTAACTATGTACCCAGGTAGGTATGAACCACAATGGTCAATCTCAAAAACTCCTCTTTGCCAACCACTAGCCCATTTCTGTCATCATCTCCATCATTCCTGCCATCCTCCCGTGCTAGGATACCAAGCGCCTACTCAACCCGTCCCTCTCTAGATGTATTCTGATTCGCACCAGGATCTTCTGATCACCGTCCTTTGTCAGTCCTGCATATGACCGGGCCGGAAAAGCTCCATCAATCCATTCCGTTTTGTGCTGCTGCTATTCTTGTGGCAGAGGACTGAGCCTACGAATACGAGTCCCGAGTACTCGTAAGTCTGTCACTCTTTCACAATCCATCTTTGTCACAGACCACTGTAAACAGAAAAGTGGTAGGGCTTAGGGTATGAGTACGGGCTCCGATCAAATCCCTTCCTCTCACGTCTTATCTAGGCAGTTTCCTGGTTTAGGGAAAGCTTTGCAGTTTACTTCGTACTCGTACTGCACTGGTCGTCTCATCCTCTTTGACCTTGTCATCATTGTCGATATCATGTCAACCATGTTCAAACCCGGCCGCTCGGGACTCTATTATTCCGCTTCATGATAGTTACATAGGCCGTGATAATACTCCCTCTTGATGACTAGAGAGAAGGTTTCGTGACTGACTTGTGCGTTGATCTTGTTTCTTTGGAGGGAAAGGGTGAGAGGGACGAGAACGGTCATCCGACCTATGGCAGGTATTTCTTTGTGGTAAATTTGAGCCAAGTACCACGAGGACCGAGTTCTCACCGCGAGGACTACGTAGCAAGGTAGGTACCATGATGACGGGTGCGGAATAATGATCATGCGATTTCCAGCACCAGCTCCATCGGCTCCACTTTCATACTGGTAGGTCTTGTCCTTGTGTGTTGTGTTTGTCTCTTCCTCATCATCTTCCCCCCTTCTTCTCTTCAATAATGGAACCCAAATGGAACCAGGGGTTGAAGAACTTCTCTCCTTCCCATTCCCATCGACTGCACCCAAAAACTCCCCCATGTTGCAGTCATGGTCTCCACTAGAACCACCTCATCAGGCAGAAACCCGGAAGTGCTCCCCTGAAATAGGTAACCACCACCGGAAGTCTTGAGAATTTTTTTCTCTTCTTCTGCGTCCACCCATTATTCTTCAATCATCATGGTGCCTCGAGTCCCGGCGGATGGCGACTGGTCATCATTCAACTCCAATTTTCTCAGGCGAGACATGCCTGAAACTGCCTCTATGTACAGGTATGAGACGCCAGCCCACGCATCTCCCAGGGACCGACGCCATGATTGTAAATGGCTACCCCACATGCCGAATTGGCTACGAGTCTCGTTTCCATGATGGCCCATTATTCCCCTGCTTACAGCGCGATGGAGATTCTTTCTTGGAACCACCTGGGGGCAGAAAAGGAGGCCACAGCCGCCTCCGCCTCTTGTTAGGTCGACTGTCACCTTACGAATAGGGAAGATTGAAAAGGAGCTGTGCTCCAGGCGTGAGGGATTTCCCACACTGAAACAACAATTTCCACTACGAAAGCCGACAAAGCGTTAAAAATGTTGCTGATGCTGGTGCAATGTTAAGAACAAATCATGATATCATCCTGGAAGCCATGCCTGAGTTGGGCGCTCCTTTCTTGTGTCAAAAGTCCAACCATCTCCTGTCTCTTCTTGTAGGTAGGATAGACATGCTTTCTCCCGAGCGCACAGCAAACTCGTCAAGAAACGAAACTCCTTCATCGCAGCGTGCCGAGCTTCTCCACGAATTATACCTAGGTATCAAATGGCTGTGAGACAACCCGTAAACCACTTGAAGAACCGAGGTTAGAGGACAAACCTGATCATTCTTTATTATTCCATCACCAGATTGAGATCCCTTTGGGTATGTATCAAACTCTTCGCTGATCCCATCTGAACTATACATTTCTTTCACTTCCAACCTTGAGTACAATCCAGGGCGTCGGGTTCCAGTATCAGAATGGCCTCTCCAGCATCACTTCCATCTGCTCTTCCAGAGACAACCGTCCACATAACGACCCACGACTCCTCTGGCAAAGCCACGCTCTATTCTTCATCTCAGAACGAATGGAATTGGGTTTCCGACAGGTCCGTTGGCCTCAAGACGGTGTACACTACTTCGTCTTTCCCGGTCTCGCTGAATGACGATGCCGATATCGAGGCGCACAAGGCGACCGTGGCTAGTGGTAAGCTCGGACTGGTTCAAAAGGGCGGCACGGTCTGTCGTCTTGTCGATTTTGGTCCAGGAAACACTCCGTTGATGCACCGCACGCAAAGTCTGGACTACGGAGTGGTGTTGGAAGGCACCATCGAGATGGAGTTGGACGATGGCAGTGTGACTCTTTTGAAGCGCGGGGACGTGGCCGTGCAGCGGGGTACGAATCACGCTTGGAGAAATCCCAGCAAGACGGAGTGGACGAGGATGCTTTTTGTCCTGCAGGACTGCCAGCCGGTACTTGTCGGCGGCGAGAGGCTTTACGAAGAACTAGGTGAGGGAGCCAAAGACTTTCCAAGCAGCGGCAACGATAGTTGAGCCGTGCTAGTCTAGCAAGTTCAGTTGTGGTCATATTTCAATCTAGGGCAATTATCCCCTGGCTTCCTTTTTGAGTAGAACGATGTCGACATCTGTGACATGGCTCGTTGCCTTGTGATCTAATCTTTTAGTATTCCACACTAGGACACAAGGGGCAGAAGGACGAAGAAGGCCCGTTTGTGGCTATGCAGCTCTAAGCTGTGGATTGTGGGTCAGCATTACTCGTGTGTACCTACTGCGTGGTCTGGCCATGAAAGGCCTTGTACTCCGTCGTGAATTATGGTCTGGTGGCATCTTGAAAAGATGGTACGACTACTTACTTTTACTTTACGAGGCTCAGTCAGTGCTGGACAACCACAATAACCACCACCACCGCTGCCGCCACGGTATGCCGGAAAGACTCCACGTGAAGAGGGTCAGTTGGGGTTGCATCATATATTATCATGTACCAGCTCTTCGTGATCGTGCTTACAGCGTGAGAGGCAACGGTGGTGACGGTCCGAGACATTTCCCTACTCCGTAGACCCGCACGGCTCGTCATTACCAATTTCCCCCGCCAGGCTGTACGCGCGGACGTACGAGTAAGTGTGAAGATGCGTCACGGCTTCGTGGATGCAGGGACCGTAGCCTCGACGGGCTTTGTTCATAGGGTGCCGTCTTGCTCGTAATTCTGTTCTATGTAGCAACCGCATCTTTTCAAATAATTGTGCAGATTGTCACATCCCTTTAGGCCTCGTGCGGCAGTGAGCGTCAGTATGGTCTCGTGGTTCATTTGTGAAGTCATCAATTGGAAAGGGCGGTTCCCTTGACAATGCTCTCCACGGCGCCAAAATAGTCCCTAAAGGATGGATGTCGATTGCTATAGCAAGATCCGTAGAGGTTGCGGACGTGGAAGAACAAGTCATTGAGGATGTGGTCAGAGAAAGTCGCGCTTATTTGAGTCTGCGTGGTTTGTCAGTGAGTGCTGGTGAATTCCGGTGAGACCATGTCAACCAGTCGCCCATGCTATTGTACCTCTCGGGAAAGAAAATGGGTGAAAAGATACGGGTTGAGTGGCCGATGATGGAATCTTGGGATGCGTCGCTCCTCATTTCCCGACGGCGCTGGCATAGAGAGACGGGAAAAGGGTGTGCCGAGTGAACTCGTCCGTCACAAGGATCAGGCAGTTGTGAGGTCAGTGCATAATTACCTAGAAGGGTAGAGCAGATGTAAAGCGGAGTGGATTAGACTGTGGTTGGTGTGAGAAAAAATGACCGCAGGCTCACTCCCTGGTGTATTCAGTACTGCGCAGTTTGACAATGTCGAGTCACTTTTTCTTCCATTCCACAAAAACCATCCCCCGCCAGCCTCTATTACACCATGTTCATCATTCAGACCCCTCAATCGTTCTATGTCGTATGTGGACGGCTATAGTTCGCCGATCTCTGATCGTCGTTCGCAATGACGTTCCTCGCTTCTCCATCTTCCTCCTCGCCTCTATGGAACCGGTAAAGGGCACAACCTCGATACCCCTCCACATACCCGCGCTCAGAGAGGCATTCACTCGTCGAACAAATCGCTGATTTGATGATCGTTACTGCATTCTGCTCAACAAGTCGTTTGAAAGCCGGATCGCCCGTCGTCATTGGAAGGAAGGATCCTCATTCTGAGCGTTCCTGACCAGCTATTGCACGTGGTTCCTCGTTGCTGATCTTCTCACATTGGTCGTGAGTCGATATTCTTTAATGGCCCCTCCTGGACTAATCTTCATCTGTGTCTCTCTTAGTAGTTTATAGCTTTGGCGTTCGTGATTCCTCTTTTGTCAAATTATCGTTCAACACCATTGAACACCATGTCGCGAGATCTCCCTTCAGTCCGAACCAATACCCACTCATTTGCACAAGACGCGACAAGATTAAGATCGGTACCTACGCACGAATCTGTTCCCTTCTCTCTTGCAGGTCCCAGAGCTTCCCATCCTTCGAGAGAGCAGCGAAGCTTTGTCAGTCGCGAATATCAAGAATCATGCCCTGAATATGGACAGCCACCCGACGAACCCATCTGGGGGTTGGCTGCTCCTTTACCACGGGTCAAGCGTCGAGGTATGCGATCCCCAGACAGGAGACCAGAGAGAGATGCCATAGACGAGCCAACAAGAACCCGACGACATGCCCGCGAACCCGCGCTGCAACAATCGGCAATAGGAATACACCCAGCATCTCGGACAGAGGCCAGTCCTCACCGACATGGAGAACAGGAACATGACGAGCCACGCTGGAGCAGCGCTGATACTCGGATGTCTCCCCCCGGGCCAGATCTCCTCCGCCGGGCGACCACCGCCAATGTCTCATCCTATCTTAGTGAGCCGGTCGTCCCGCACAATACCGTGCAACAACCTGGCATTCTCAGCGCAGAAACAAAGCGCAAGGAACGCGAGCTGGTCGCTGAGAATATCAGCGCACACGACAAGGCACGTACTTCATCTGCAGAAGGACGGAGAGGAAGCCATGAATCTCAAGGGCCGCATACCCACGCGTACACATCTCCCAGTGGTTCGACGGCCCATGACTCTTCCATAGATCGGACGCAAGATTTGGTCGTCGGACGTGAACTGGAACGGGCGGTGAGGAGTGAATCTGCCATCGAATCAGCGCGGCGGCGACTGCAGCAATTAGCAGATACGGCTGAGTACGAAAGTGGTTTGCGGCAGTGCCCTCCAAACATTGACTGGGAAGAATATCACCCCTCGGGTGACACCCTGGTACAACAGCTCTCGCAATCGGGCGAATATTCTCGGCCGCGATTCTTCAACTTTTGGGGCCCAGTACGACATAAATATCGAAAGCCATTCGCGGAGTTTCTGGGGACCCTGGTTTTCATGACGCTTGGCCTGTCTGGATCCATCGTTCACATGACAGCGGGCAGCGACTACGGAAGTCTGCTGACTGCGTACATGGCATGGGGTTTTGGGGTGATGATGGGCATCTACATTGCAGGTGGCGTCTCTGGCGCTCATCTCAATCCGACGATTTCAGTCGTTCTCTCCGTCTTTCGCGGCTTTCCATGGGACCTCTGCTGGAAATATATTGGCGCTCAGTTCCTCGGCAGCATCGCCGCATCTGCACTCGTGTTTGGTCTCTACAGTGACGCCATCAACGAGTACACGGCCTCAGACATTGCTCGCGTTGGACCTGCATTCTACACTCAACCCCGTGGCGGATTGAGTAATGTCGCTGCCTTTTTTAATGAGCTCGTCGCCACCGCAATCGCAGCCGGTTCCGTCCTTGCCTTGGGGGACGACGACAACGCACCGCCGGGAGCAGGCATGCATGCATTCATCATCGCTCTCCTGGTCATGTGCCTTTCCATGGCCTTTTCATACAACACTGGCGCAGCTCTCAACCCTGCGCGGGACTTTGGGCCTCGTTTGATAACATTTTTTGCAGGCTCTGGTGTCCATGTGTTCACCCGGGATAACTGGTGGTGGATTTGGGGGCCTTGGGTCGCTACGCTCGCTGGTGGGCTTGTTGGTGCAAGCGTTTATGACATTTTCATCTTTAAGGGCGGAGAGTCTCCCATCAACTACCCCACTGGCGCCTTGAGAGCCGAGTTGAATAGCTCATGGAAGGAGATAAGGCAGAAATCAAAGATAGGCCGGGGAAAGGATAGCACTGGAGATGTCAATAAGGAGATTAATCTTGTCGCTTGAAACGAGAGGATGCTGGAAATAGGGTTGAATTCTGCAAGGCAGGTCATTTAGGGCCGCTGGCACAAGCATCACCCATCCGTCTCCATCCTGTCGCTGCTAATCGAAGCTGACGAGGCTGAATAAGACCGAATGAGGCTTTACGTTAGCGCCCGCTGTTTCCCCAGGACTTTATTAGCGACAGAGAGGCAACTTTCCCGAAATGAATTTCCATCTTCACCTTCTAAACGCTGTTTGCGCATGATCTTTTCACTTCGCCCCTCCGACTAATGCCTTTGGGAGATGGCACTCTTTCTGACAATGGCATTGCGACCACTAATGTCGCTCTTGCCGACGAGGTCGAAGCCTTAAATTCCATTTACGGCTCGGATACTATCACCCTCCAAGAATCCGGGGGACCTTCTTCAGTCACCGGGGTCCTGCGCCTTCCAGGGTCTGAAATTTCCCTGCTCATCTCCTTCCCTGTCGAATACCCTGATGCGCCTCCGGAGATATTAAAGACACAGTCGACGGGAGACAGTGGGCGAAAAGGCGAGGGCGAGGTCGCCGTCCACATACTCCGCGACGTGCTCACCCGGGTGTGGACTGAGGGCCAGGTGTGTCTGTTCGATCTGGCTGAGGAAGCCGGTCCACTGCTACAGACGCAGCAACATGAGAACGAGCACAGTGATGTTGCGCCGACTCAGGGTGTCGTCGAGCAAAGCACTACGAAGTCGCATAGGTCTGCTGCCTCATCCTTGCCCACGCACCACCATCATCATCATCAGCCACCGGGTCCCCGCGATGGCCACGCCCTCCCTTTCGAGCATGGCTCTGGCTCTGGCTCTGGCTCTGAACCCTCCTCCACGATGAACATGCCCTCTAACGCCGCCGTAGCCTCCTCGCTCGACACGCCCACGTATCCTCCTCCGAACTGGTCCCTTTCCGAGGCCCTCACGGCCAACAGATCGACCTTTGTCGCGCGAGCGTGTCCCGTGCGGTCGCTGGACGAGGCGCAGGCCTCCCTCTCGCACCTCCTCGCCTCTAACAAGAAAGTAGCCAGCGCGACGCACAACATCAGCGCCTGGCGCATCCAGTCGACCAATGCGCAGACGGGCGCGGTGATTACGGTCCAGGACTCGGACGACGACGGCGAGACCGCCGCGGGGGGTCGCCTCCTGCATCTGATGCAGCTCATGGACGTGTGGAACTGCATGGTCGTGGTGACCCGGTGGTATGGCGGGGTTAAACTCGGACCAGACCGGTTTCGCCTCATCAACCAGGTTGCGAGGGAGAGTTTGGTCAAGGGTGGGTTTGTGAAGGAGCATGGAGGAGAGGACAAGGAGTCGGGCAAGGGAAAAGGAGGGGGGAAGGGGAAGGGAAAGAGGTGATACAACGCAAGTCTGGCTGTCACGACTGGCTACACGAGATACAAGAGGATGACGGATGATGGTGTAGATTTCGAGTGTATAGAAAGACACCTAGCCGTGACATTGAGGATGTACAGTTTAGCTGTGGAATTGGACAGAAAAAGTACCAAGAGTTGATAGATGATGGATTTGTTATGCAAAAGACTGCGCAGACACGCGCCTTTTCTCTCTGCGTCTGCGTCTACCATTCTTTCATGAATCGGGATTACTCAACCTACACTGTACTCGAGATTATATCATGACAAGTATTATCTTGTGTTGTTATATTCATCATTAGATCTGGTTGTATGTGCTATGGACTATGAGCCATGAACCATGGGTCATGCATGGGCCACAACCATCTTTTTTCAGTTTCGGGCGGTCTGTTAGTCAATCAGTCGCTCGGTCGAACAGCTCATCTAGCTAGCTACCTAGCTAGCTACGTAGCTGACGGGCGGCTGGCTGACTGGCTGAATGACTGGCTGGATCTTTTCTACACCAGGTACGTATGTATCAAGGCATAACCTCTCTGGCTTTGACAGCCGCAGCCCTCCGTCTCGCGCTCTCCGCGGCCCTGCGCATCCTCAGATTTCCCTGGACGTGCTGGACCTCATCCTCGGCCCTCTTGGCCTTGCGCCTGGTGATGAACTCGCTCGGCTGACCAAAGTCCGGCGTGCCGCCGAGGGTGGCGAATATGTCGCCGACGTAGTTCGTCGCGGGAATGCCCTTTGCAAAGGTGCTGTTCCAGCCAGCGAGGATGCCGTCGACGACGCGCACGCCGGCGATGTAGATGTTTTGGATGGCGGGCGGGAACCCGCCCTGGTCGACGTACAGGAGGTTCTGGATCTCGCTGACCGAGGGGGGCGGGCGGTCAAAGTCCGAGGCGGTGCGCATGACGATGACGCGCGAGAAGTCGGTCAGGTTGCGCGCCGCGGCCCGCAGGATCGCTTCCAGGCTCGCGTTGTCTTCCTGCGCCGTCGTGCAGTATACGCCCGACCCGTTGGTCCAGAGCGTCGTCGTGTTCTCAAACGCCTCCGACAGGTGCGTCCCGGAGTAATACACGTCCGACGTCGCCACGTCGCAGCCCAGCACGCTCGGTCCCCGCGCTCCCGCCGCGTAGATGCCCTCGGCCGCGTACTTGGCTCGGTACTCCTTGCTGGCCGCGCTGTCGTTGAGCTTGGCCCCAGTCGCGAAGCTGATGGCCACGTCGCGGAGCGCTTCGTTGACTTCAAAGACCTCGGTGCCGTAGATCCTATAGAAGCCATACAGACACAATAGATTAGTTCACAAATAGATTTTCCATTTCTTGTTATAGATTCTCATGGCAGTGCCCGAGACGTTGCCTTTTGCCTTGGGATTAAAACTCACGTTTCAGGATAATCATCCGGAGCATCGACACCAAATGGAATGTACCCGGTCGTAAAGTTCGAGGGTATATCTCGCAGATCAAACTCGTATTGCAGCGCAACCTGGACCGCGTACTTGGCAAAGGTCACAGCCCCCAGCGTCGCCACCTTGGGGTTCACGCCTGCAATCCCTGCCACCATAAAGTATGTCTTGGTGAGGTTGAACTTAGGACTGAGCACAAAGGCGCTGATGGTCGAGGCTGCGTTGATTTCGGATTCCCCAGTCACCACCTGACAGACATCGCCTTTGGCGGTGCAGTGGACTTCTGGGAACAGAGGTGAGAGACCCGGCACGGTGATGTTCTGGGCTAGGAGGTCGAACTCCTTGATGCCGTACCAGACCTCCGCCTCGGGGGCAAACATGCTGATGATGACAACCTTTGGAGAGATGGGAGCAGCTCGCTTGACAACATCGCTGCGCGTTTCGACTGGGGACGCTGTCGAGGAGAAAATGAGAGCTACCGCAGCAACAAGCAGCTGGCAAACACCGTGAGAACGCATGGTAGACAGATTCGGAGAGCTCCGTCCGCTTGAGCTTCTGGAAAAGACACGGGGACAAGCTTTCTTTGCCCGAGCACGCGAGCAAGAGGAGTGAAAAGAAAGGGACTGCGGAAACTCGGCGACAGGGAGGGACGGTACCTACCTTTTGAACCTACGCTCGAAGCTTCGAGCTCCCCTCGTTCATCGGCAGCAGCTGCTGGTTTCGTGGACAGAGCAGCTCTCCAAGCGACGTATTAAAACGCGGTAAATCCCACCGGAGGCCAGCGGATTGGAGGCAATGACGACGAGATGCAGAGCTTCGGCTGGATAGCCCCCATCCTTGTGTACCTTGCTTTGAAGCTTGTAGCGGCAAACAAGCATTCGGCACAAGCAATTGGCTGTGGGAGCTTGTTCGTCTGTTTTGTTCTGGAAAGATCGGGCCGTTGTTGTTATCTCTGCCAAAGCGTAGATGGGCAGATGGTTTCCCGGGGTCGAATGAGCGTAGCTCCCATGCAGATCTAACTTAGCTCGGATCAAGTGTCTGCCCGCCACCGTCTCCATCCCACACCGTTATCTCGCAGCACACGGGTCAGGATCATCCAAGTATGTGTAGGCTCCCTACCTGGTACGTGATAAGGAGCGCGTGGCACCGAGTACTCATCTCAGCAACATGTCCGGGTGCGACAGCTTCTTTTGGGGCGAAGTTCGCCTCCATTATGCTGACCAACAAGGCTGAGGAAGCCTCCAGTGGATTAGGTGAAGACAGACTGAAATCAGATATTACTCGGTACGTGGGACCCTACACTTGGAAACTGGAACCCCAAGGGAATGGTGGCTCGGTGGGTATCGATTTGATACCAGGGAACGAAGCTTGCGGATGTGGTGATGTTAAGTTGGGTGGCTGGCGTGGTTGGATAGGCGAACTGCGATGTTGCTGCAGCCTATCACGTGCTCCGAGTAGCTACGATAAGCTTTTCTATTTTTCGCCTGATAAACAAAATTCCCTTATCGTAAATGACGTCAACGCATCGCGGGGTGCGAAATCATTAACTTCCCACTATGTGCAGGTACGAGGACTCGATAGGTATGCACGTAACGTGGCACGAAGGTAAGTAGTCTGTATTTTCAGTGCAGCCCCTCTGTATCAAGAGCGAGCTGACAATGCAGTCTATATAGTCTATTTCTAAATGGTCCGAAACGAAACGAACCTGCTGCTCTCGGACCCAATGCAACGGTCCTCCCAAGCCAGGCGAACTCGCAGGATACCTCAAAAGCCAAAGGCCACTACGGGCAAAGAGAAGGAACGTCATAAGATGGGGCCGTAGCTAAAAACAAAATGGCACAAGTTTCATCATGTAGAGCCCGGGAAACTCATGCCCACGAGCACCGCTCGGGCCTCGACATCTCCGTGCGCATAACTCAGCCCGCAAACTCCACCGGGTTCAAGCATCATCTCCAAGTGTGTGCCCAAGTCGAGCTTCAGCCACCTCTTCACAAAGGCGCGGAGGATGTGGCCATGGGCGACGACCACGGCGTCGCAGTTCCGGTCACCCTGCTGCAGTCCTTGCCGGTGGATTGACGTGATCTGCGAAATCAGCCGGTCGAGTCGCTCCGTGACCTGGGGTGGAGTGTGGCCTCCAGGACCCTCGCAGCCGTCCCGCCAGATATCCCAGGGCCGTTCTCTGTCCAGGCCTCTAGACTTGCGAAGTTCCTCGATCTGGTGCTGCAGAAGACCTTCGTAGTCCCCGTAGCCCCATTCAGCGATGTCTTCGGTCGTGTGCACCTTCTCCGTAAGCGCGGCGCGTAAGCTGGGTTCTTGAACCTGGTCTAGGAATAGTTGAAGCGTCCGTTGCGCGCGCTGTCTCGGGCTGCATACAATGTGGGCGACTTTGCTCGGGTCGATCAAGCGTCCAGCACCGAACACCACCTTGGCTGTTTGGCGGACCTTGTCTTCGCCTTCGGGGAGAAGAGGAAGGTCGGTGATCCCCGTGAACCGCCCATTCCGAGACCATTCCGTTTCACCTGCGCAGGTAGTATGCGTGTAAGCTTGCAAATACGGGCTGTTCTGTTCGAGGAAGAGTCGAGGTGCAATATAAAAGCAGGGGATGATGTCTTACCGTGACGAATGAGAAACAGTCGCGGTGTAGCCGCGTCTTTGTCTGACATAGTTTGAGCCACGAGCCGACAAAGTAGATCACCCACAATATCTCTCAAAGTTGGGAGGTCCAACAAAGCGCCCTCAGCTATGAGCAATTAGGTGTAACAAAGCGGGATATGGTGCTACACCACCACGCGGATATATCGTCCTCTAGCTCAAGCTAGGTTCCTGACCCTCTTATCAATCAGCCTTAAGGTCCTCAGAGGACAACAGGCGGGAACAACCAGCAAAGTGAAAAATTTCTATCGAGAGTGGCACGTTTTAACTATACCCAAACACACTCGATGTGATGGTCCAGTCTATAGTCCAAACCCCAAAACGTGCAAGATACAAAAAAAGAGGGGCAGAAGGAAGGAAAACAAGTACAAAGCTGGGCGTCGTTGAGGCGTTGAATTCAACCCTTTTTAGGAATCTGATGGATAAAATCACCCAAGTACCTTCCTTAGTCAGCTTCCCTGTATATCCATCCCCCTGCATCTTTTGCTCTGGGTTCTACCCTTTTCTTCCCTGCCTAGCTAGGTGGTCCATGCGTGTCTTGTTCGTAGGGTCAATGCTGGTGCTTGTCCCTATGCCTGAATCATGCTAGGTTCTACACTCGCATCAAAAGGAAGGCCTTCAAGCGAACTTACATCGGTGACGTCGATGTCGTATGGTGGAGGGGAATTAGATACTCGGGGAGACAGAGGCAATCCATCAAAACACAAAAACCCTCATGTGCAAGACGACATCACGACCATGACAGCAATCCCCTGGTGGATATTGATTACCTGTATGTATTGGATGACCTCAGTCTCTACTTTAAAGTGAAGTCGCAGAGCCTCTCATGGCCTGTACAAGGATACCAGGGACGGGGGGGCCTCCAGTAGGAAGGCATGGCTTTAGTTTCCCACCCGGAGCCGCGAGTGGCCCGGGCCAGAACGTTCTAGTTACCCCTACTCAAGCAAACGCATCAAGATAGTAGTCATAGTCCCGTCGATGTGCCGAGTCCTGGTACGGGACTACGAACGACAGGGGTAAGATGAGGCTTGTTCGATCTGCAAGCAACATACTCGTAAGTCTTCTTTTGGCCCTGTCGAGAATCATTTGGTTCCAAGGCGGTGCCAGGGTGGAAGAGGCGTTCGTGATCATGATACTCGTCACCTTCTATAGTTTGTGACACTCAGGCTCATATTTCTGCTCCAAAATCTGCCTATATTCGAATTATACGGGCCGATACAAATGGTCAAGTTCTACCCAGACGATCTGATCCTTCGTCTTCCCCCCCCCGTTTCGGGTTCAATGCAAAACTGTCCCGTGGACTTTTAATCTCCATAAACCGAACCAAATGCATCCCATGCTATGCGTGTTCCAATCAAACCATATTTACCACAGGGTCGTCAAAGTCATTAAGAGTCGTTGGAACTGAGGGACAGGAGCCCGGTTGCTCAAGTGCTGACACTTTTATCGATCATCCAAGTTTTCCCGTTGGCCTCCTCCTCAATGACAAATGCCTCTTTCGCATATTCGTAGATGGATCTATACGGTGGCCAAAGGGATCGCGCTTCGTCTGTGAGTTTGCCAGCTTTGGTTTTGCGAGATGCCTCGGTGCTGCTTTTTCCCGTAATCGTGTCGTTGCTGCCCTTGCGCCTTGTATCGTATTCGAAATCCGGGCCCGGAAAGTACGGCGCATTGTATTCACCAAACAGAATTTCGATTCCAGCAAGTTGCTCTCTATATCCGTTGGGGATGGGTACCTTGATCTCGATCCGTTTACTGAAGACATATTTACAGGGTCGATCCAACGCCTTTTCAAATGCCTGACAAACTTGCAACGGGGTGAGCATCTCAAAGGCAAGAGCAATCCTAGAACAAATCCAACTGTTAGACCCAAGTTCTTTGCTCATGTTGCTTACCACCTTGATCCCGTCAAAAATGGTTATGATCAGCCCGACCCCTGCAAACACCGGAGAAAATATCCGGACAAGAATCCTTGTACAAGGTCTTGACTATTCGGGGCGCCGGGAACGAACCATGTGACCCAGGATCAAGGGTTGTTGTAGAGGAAAAACTCGCGGTAACGTACCTGTGTCCATTCCATTTACCGGGTCCATCCTTGAAAATCTGCAAGACAGCTGGCCCAACATCGTGCTCAGCATCTAGCCAGGGCAATTTGGTGTCGGGATGGAAAGGTGCTCGCCATTCCAGAGTTCCATCGTCCTTGAAGTCCATGCAGAACAATGGGTATGGTAGACTGGTGAAATTGTTGTTGTAGATTCCAGCATAGACAAAGGTCGCAGGGAGTCCAAGCTGTCGAATGTAATTTTCCACCGTGAACTTGCATGCCCACTGGGGAAGTGCCGGCCAGCGTGGATTGTGAATTGAATGATCGGGCATGCTGCTGTATATGAAGTGTTGTATGTTGCGCTTCTTAGCCGCATTGGCCAGTGCCTTGCCGATTTTGATCTCATCGCCACCCAAAGGGTTGGTGTTGATAAAGGCAATCTGAGCACCTTCAAACACAGTGTCGATGAGGACCTGGTTGTTCAGCAAGGGTCCCTCGAACAACCTGACATTGGGTAAGTCGGCGAGCTCCTCAGCCACCAGGCCTTTCAATGAATGGACATGGGCCCGGACGGCATAGCCGACAGCTGCGACTGCCCGAATGACCGACGCAGCCTGACGACCTGTACCGTTGACAATTGCTATGGTCTTGAGTCTATTGGGCATGTGGCGAATATCTGCCTCTAGGGGTCAAGACAGTCAACGCCTGAAAGGAAAAAAATTGGTTTGGGATGGTGAACTTTGTGAGAGTCGGCGCGAAGAAGATTGTGGCCGTCGAAAGGATCAATCGCGCATCAAAGATTTCTGCGTTACCAACGCCGTTGTCGATAAGATCAAGATAGAATGCCAAAGGGAAAAAGGCAAAAATGGACCACACCGTGCTTTTCAGAAATGATTTTGGGTATCATGCGATTAGAGGACAACCAGAGAGACACATTCCACCATAAAGGGCAAGGGAGTCACAGGGACCTCCGTGCCGTAAATCGGTCCCATTATTCGAGGACCCTTTGGGTGCGCAAATTCTGCAACGGTGTGTGAAAAGGTCTATGACCGCCAAACCTGATGCAGCTTATCCTTTACGTAACCGGGAGTGAAAATGTGCCAGCGGGGTGCTGGGTCCATGCTGAGCACGACATTAGGACGGACCTGAGTGCCCGCCCGTAAGGGAGAACCCGATTCCATCATTTCTCTTTGAAATAGATCAATTTGTTGGGGGGGTAGTACAACGACGCCGCAGAGGGTGACGAGGGAGTTGAGAGCCGACTTCCGCTATACCGCCAGACACTCCTGGCAAATGAAATGCGGGGGGCGTTGCCAGGTGCTGCCAAAAAGGCGGGGGAGAAGAGTGGCAACCAGGATAGTCAGGATAAGTCAGGATAGCCAAGGGCGTCCCGGGTTTCCCATGTCCCAAGCTGGGTCGCTGGGTTCGCCTCGCCTAGGTGGGATAGTAGTGGTCGAGGTCGCCGTCAGTGGCGCCTTGATCCGAAGACCTAGGGATCCCTTAGTGACCATGCCATTCGAGATGAAGCAGGAGGTCGGTGGGTGTTGTAGGCGTGACTTGGATGGCTCCAAGTGTTCCAATCCCACTCCGGTTTCGAGGACAAACATAAGCCGCCGTTGGCGGGTACCAAAACTTAGACGTGTCAATCTCGACCCGGGCACCTCCGCGGCCCCATCATTGTAGGACTTTTGCAAGCCCATCAAGCAATGTCGTGAGCCTTGGGAATCGCACAATTGGGTTGCTCGATGTGCTCATGGCTGGCCATCTCCTGTTTTAGCGAGCGCAAGGTGTAGCGTCCTGTACTGCCACGAGGCGTGGATGGATGGCAGCAGGCAAGTCCAGATCATCTGGCATGGCTTTCCAGAGGCGACTTCGGACCTAGGTGTGCTTAGCACCCGGTAGCATACAATCGGCGACCAATCGTGCACACCAACCAGGGGCCTCTGACGGAAAGCCATGTGCCAGAACGGCTGGAGACTGGGAAACCCAACGCCCAGTTGAAACCAGCTCTTTCTCCAGGTCCATTAGGGCACTTCTAGGCCTGCCTGTTTCCACACTTCTGGTCTTTGGCTCGCGTGGAGTCTGGCCGTCTCCAATTCTTCGGCATGGAGATGTCCGCCTGCTTGTCTTAAAAGCATTACGTGCGGCAACAACCCAGCATTGGCGGCCAGGAAGAGAGGTGTCCTGCCTGATCCGGTGTGGTTGCGTAGGTGTACCCTGTCAAAAGATTGTGTTAGCCAGTATCAATATGAACACCATCACCCGACAATGACTTGTCCTAAACTTACGAGGCACCCAGCGAGAGGAGATGCCGAAGGATCGCAATATTCGGCCCAGTCGCCGCAAGATGGACGGGTGTGTTTCCGGAATAGTCGGCTCGGTTGATCAGTTGATTGTCGTTTCGTAGCAGGTCCTTCACCTTCTCGATATCTCCACTGGCAATTGCGTAGGCAATAGCTGTGAGTTGAGCGACGGGGGATGATAACTCGCCTGTCGGATGTTTGAAAATGGTACCCGCATGCTCTGAAAGTTCACCACGAATTGATGTTGCCATATCTTTAGCCACCGACTCTGGTGACGCTCCTGGGAGGGCCAGCAGGTAAGACAGCTTGGTCAAAGCTGCTTCACTGGTCATATCCCCTCCTGCAACAACGCCAGCACGGCCAAGGACCATCCCGGGTGCATAGAGCGGGTTGACACTGCCAGTCAGACACTGAGTGACGTTCACAATCACAATGCCACGTTGAACAGCGTCAGAGATGACCTGGGTCAATTTGTTGTCGTGCCCACTGGGGGCGTTGCCTGCGCCAAACGTCTCCAGCACAAGACCACGAAGTCCTTCGGTCCGCAGGACTGCCTCTACCATTTTCGGTTTGATGCCAGGGAAAATGCGCAAACAGGCCACATGGTGTATCTCGAGGTCTGATTGAACGCTGAAGGCTTCAAGGGAAGTCGACCTTTTGACCGAGTTCCATTCAACGTGAGTACCTACTGCAGTGATCTTGGCCAATGGAGGAAAGTTCGGAGATGCGAATGCATCAAATGCGCTTGCTGAAACCTTTGTAGTTCGATTACCCCGAAACAGGGTCGAGTTGAAGCAAAGACACACCTCGGGGATCATGAAGTGCCCGGCAATATCCAGGGAATCAAGTAGATTCTCCAGAGCATCGTTTTTGCGCTCCGAGAAGGGCACCTGGGATCCTTTGGGGAAAAGGTCAGCTTCGTCCACTCGTGGATTTGCTAAAAGCGCATCTTGACAATAGGCATCGGGGTCATGGCCAACTTCTCACAGCGACTCATCGCCGGTAACACCTCAAGAGAGCTGTGTTAGACAGATGTTCTGGAGCAAAAATTCCGTCACACAGCGAGATCGCTTGTAACTCCACTTACCCGTAAGTATGACAGGCTTGCCCAAGTTCTGCAACATGAAACTGAGAGCTGAACAGGTGTAGGCGAGACTGTCTGTACCGTGAAGAACGACAAAGCCATCAAACAACTTGTAGTTGCGATATATCGCTTGCGCAATCTCCGCCCATCCCTTGCTGTCTATGGACGACGAGTCGAGAAGTGGTTCGAACTCTAGGACAGCATATCTGTGCGAGTATTAGCGATGCCTCAGCCCATTTTTTGACCGAGCGGAATTTTAAGGTCCTATTGCAAGAAGGCTCTGGGATTTTGAAGGTTGCTGACTTTCCTGACACGTTTCCCGTACACGCTCGTTGGTGTCCGCAGACTCTGGAACTCGCCCAGCCCATCGGGTCCATCGTGAAACCTCACGGTCATGGGTTCATGGATCTCTCCGTCGTTGAATTCCGGTCGGGGTGCCATGCATCTTTCCAGAAAATTTCGAGCCGGGATAAGACCATTGGGAGATCTTTGCATGGAGATCGTGCCTCCGGTCATGATTATCAGAACCCGAGCCTCGGGAACATGAGACGAAGACATGTTGCTCATCACTGAGGGCAGATCAATTTTGGGACGAGACAATCAAATTTGTTGCACGTACTTCGCGTTAGAGCCAGTTCACCATCCCTCTCTATTGACGGTTAGACAAGTACACAGACGTGACGGCCACGAGACTTACCGGCTGTGGTCATGGCAGTCATGGCAGTCACGTCCATTTTCTTCCAAAAAGACTTTGTCTCCTTAACTCTCACCTCTTACAAATTTTCCCGCCTTCCCAGGTTTTCGGTGCCTGAGAAAAATTTCTTTTGGTTGTCTAGCAACCCTGGGGCATGCACTAAGTACTCCGAACCCCTGGTTGACCTCGCAGGGTAAAGCTTCAGGCAGCTCGCCTACCAGCGGCTATCAGCGAGGATCTTCGGTACGCCAAGTACAAGGCTTTGGGGAGCTTTTCGATTGGAGGTCACGGAGATGCTTCCACAATGGTGTGTGCTTTGGTGCGGTCCCGGTCCTGATTCTGTTGGTTTCTCTGTAGGACACAGAGATTTCTCGACGAGAATAATCCTTGTAGATATCGGCAGAACCTGGTGTCCGGGTTCCCCTCTGACATCCACCTTGTTATTCTGCATCAATGCACCATCTTCGCCCAATTTAGCGCAGCTCGCCGGAACTAAAGGACTTTAGCTCAGAGATTCTTTTTGCACCTCTTTCTCCTCCACAGTCCGCGTCAAGCGCGAGAGTGCCGTGGCAACGGCAGAAGTTGAAGCAACGATTGTTTGCGATCCCGACTGAGGCAATCACTCTTAGGATTATGGCCAGAGTTCGCACACATACCCTCTTGCTGGAGACGTAAGGGATGGTGTCGCCTCGTTCACACGCGTACATTCCGGCTAGCCGTGGCATGTCAAGGGAGCATCGTGATTGACGCTGGAGGCGATTTGAACCTCCCCCTTCCAATCGAAGCTGACTTTTCGCATCTTCGACCGGTGCATGGTACCTCGGCGGAGATTAGCAGGCGGCAACGTGCAGCAACCATGACAAAGACATGCCATGCCACACGTGCAACCAACAACAAAATGAACGGTAGTTGAAGCTTGATCGGCAGGACCTTCTCCTGCATTGCCATTGCATCGCATTGCCGCTCGTGCAGGAAGATGGAAGGCAGCCAGCAGGAATTGGGATCTCAGCTAGGCACTTGACCATGGTTCTGCCACAGCCGCAGACCTTCAGGTTGGGCCTTGTAAGCGACGGGGATGGAGCGAATGGAGACAGGTGCAAACGAATGACCACATCTGTAAGATGAGCAGAGGAAATTGGTGAAGCGGTCTTTGTTGACCATGGTCCTATTGTGTTCATTGCAGTCTTCTTGTCCCTGTGGATTTATTGCGCATTTGCCTCCCGTTGTGTTCGTATGTTTGTGTGTCTCGCATACACGTCCTCTCCTTTGCAATACTGACGACTTGTGCCTTCAGAGAGCTCTCGAGAAGACACATACACTGGACAAGGTGGTGCTGCTGGCTGATTGAAGCAGTCTGTCGATCTATTCCTGCCCGACAGTGGTCGGTGGCCATACACGACACTTCCTGGCTCTTCAAAACACCTGATATCGTCTGCTGTGATGGCCTGTGTGTGAGAAGGATAGGGCTTCGACCAAGCCGGCGACCGGGAAATCGCGTGTCAGTGGAAACGCACTCGCCAGCTGAGGTAGACAGTCTAAGTCAAGGCGGTCGGCAGAATCGACTTTTGCGCTGCAGGTCGGTTT